AATAATAATAATAATAATAATAATAATAATAATAATAATAATAATAATAATAATAATAATAATAATAATAATAATAATAATAATAATAATAATAATAATAATAATAATATTCCATGCTTTTGTAACCATTACAACATGACTCCTTCTGTTACAGATGTTCATGAGTTTTGGAGAAGTGAACTTCATTGGTTGGGAATGTTCTAGGTCTTCTTCTTTTCCATCAGGTGGGATGGAATAGTCCTGAGGGTGGAGCTGTTTTATTGTTGATTGATGCTCTGTTGTTAGTAGACTTATTTATTTATGCCTCCAAGTCAGCATTGACTCCAGATGAGAGCATGTGAAACAAGTCCTATAACATGGATTTATTAAGTCTTTCTATCAAAATTTAAAAAGAAAAACCACTTCAAGAGAGAACCCTTCTCCATACTTCACTAAGCTGAACTGAGTCCTATCCATGGTCTTTAACAACCATCAAGATGAAAGGGTGGGAATATGATGAACATCCTTTATGTTCTTCAATAAAGAGGTGTATCTATTCCGAAGGCAATTATTCTCTCTTGTAACTGCCCAGAAATAAATCATGAGCCAAGTTTCAACAATGAAGCACATTCATAGGCTGGGTGACATTCTCCAATGAAGGATTTTCGGGGGCAGAAGATCCGGTAGCCTAGCTACCATCTTTTTAAGATAAGAGTGGAATGCACTTCTGGTTTTAAACTGCCAGTACTGCTCCTTCAGATCCCCTCCCCTTATTTATGGCAACTTGAAAACAGGCAAAGGAATGTTTTACAAGTTGACAAACCATGAAATCAGCTTTTAATTATGTCAAACCATGAAAAGCAATTAGGGGGAAAATAAGATTTTGGGTTTAAAAAATGTACAATATCAATAAAGAAATGGAAAGAGGAACCAGTTTGTACACTTTTGACGTCTTGTAATCAGATGCTGACAAGAATTACAGAAGAACCCACAAAAGAGAACACAGTGACTTAAATAACTACTTCAAATAATTCATTTTTTTAAAAAAAAATTGCCATGCTAACTTGCAGCCAGGAAGGAGAATTTGCAACAGAATGACAGACAGATATTTGAAAGAAAAAAGGGGTGAAGGATGCCAGACCATGTAAAGTAGAGGTGGTATTCAGCAGGTTCTGACCAGATCTGGAGAAATTTTAGCAGAAATTTTGAGTAGTTCAGAGAACCAGCAAATACCACCTCTGAATGGCCCCGCCCCCATCTATTCTCTGCCTCCCGAGTCCCAGCTGATTGGCTGGGTCTTCTTTTGTTGCCTTGCACAGGAGAACAGAGCTGGAAAGCAGGTTAGTGGGGTGGGGAGGGAATGGGATTTTGCAGTAACCTTCCCCCAGGAGTGGGGAGGGAATGGAGATTTTACAGGATCCTTCCCTTGCCACGCCCACCAAGCCACGCCCACAGAATCGGTAGTAAAAAACTTTGAATCCCACCACTGGTGTAAAGATTTTAACAGCCATTGGTGTGGTGGTTAGAAACTAGGAGACTGTGAGTTCTAGTCCAATGTTAACCTTAGTTGGTAATCTTGGCTCAGTCATTCTCTCCCTGTCACTTCCAAAAAATACTGTCAAGAAAAGTGCTGTAGGCAGTTGTCAGAATTAATAACAGAGTTGGAAGCACAACTTGTAGTGGATATGTGACATATTATTATATTTTCTTCCAACCTCTGGTGGCTCCCAACGTGTGACTCTATTGTCTACTCTTGTTACGTTCTCCATTATTATGTTTTAGATATCCATCAGAAGGAACTCTCCACTGATCTCGACTAATCAGAATTTTTTTTTCTCAATGCATTTCTTTATCTACATAGGCAGGTAATGTCAAGCTTCATACAGCGTTTTTGCTGTTGCAACTATTTTCGCTTCTCAGCTTGCCAACAGACTATGGGAGAAGGGAAGGGGGAGATAGAACGAAGCTCCAGACACCAAGATGCCAGTTCAATTCCCCACCACCACTCAGTCAGAAGTGAAGAAGCTTCTTGGATGAGAAGCGAAATGCCTTCAAGCAAAACCAAGAAAATCTAGTTGCCTATGGGGAAAAAAGAAGCATTTTTGGGATAACAATGACCTGGATGACTTGAGAATCTCCATCAACGTTCAGCAAACTCTGAGGTCTGTTTGACGAGTTACTAGCCAATTCCTTGTCTTTTGAACTATGCCCCACCAAACAAAGAATGCCTACCAGTTTAGTTCACATTTTTTAATAACATGGCACAGATTTTACATTACACAAGGCTTTGCTCATGAGGAAACATGCTGTGGATTGAATGTCGCTTCAGAGTTGTTGATTTTTTTTTCACATAAGATTTAGAAAGGACTTTATTACATACAGGAGAAACAGCAAAAAAAGATTTGTATATAACAATATTTTTATACAATACTGAAAGCTATCACTACAGTGCCAGTGTACATATTTTTCAGATTCTCTCTCTTTTTTTTTTTGCTTTGCTTTGTTTTGTTCTTAAAAAAAACACTGCACAACATCTGGAGTTCACAAAATCTGAAGTTCACAACTAAAACTTTTTAGTTGACTACTAAAATAGATTTTTGATCATTAGAAACAGCGGTCTGTAATAGACTTTTTTTTCTTTTTGTCAAAACAGGAGAAACAATTTGAGATATCACTTTAACACTAGAAGACCAAAGGAACTATTTTCTTTTAATCCCATACACATATTTTTACAGATTATTAGGAGGCAAGGTATTGTACGCTTTCTGATAAAAGTCATATTCTCTCCAAAGTATTTCAAAACAGAACTCAGCATTTAAAATCAAGACACTTAAGGAAACAGAAGCATATGAAAACCATTTCTACTTAGGGAAAAAAATGGACACTTGTCATTTCTTTTTGCCTGTGATTGATGCTAAAACAATTACAGAAATCAATGTCAAACAATTCACAATGGCAACCTTTTTCAGTTATAAACATCATTACATAATTCTGAGTCCAGGTAATCCTCGACTTGCAACCACAAATTGAGCCCAACATTTCTGTTGCTAAGCAAGACTGTTAAGTGAGTTTTTCTGCCCCACTTTACAACCTTTCTTGCCACAGTTGTTAAGTGAATCACTACAGTTGTTAAGGTAGTTAACACGGTCTTTAAGCAAATCAGGCTTCCCCATTGACTTTGCTTGTCAGAAGGGCGCAAAATGGGATCACATGATCCTGGGACACAGAAAAGGTCATAAATGTGAACCAGGTCACAAAAGGGGATCACATGACCCCAGGAAACTGCAACTGTCATAAAATAGGAACCAGTTGCTAAGTGGCCAAATTTTGATCACGTGACTATAAGGATGCTGCAATGGTTGTAAGTGTGAGAAATGGTCATCAGTCACTTGTCTCAGTGCCGCTGTTAACTTTGAATGGTCACTAAACAAATGGTTGTAAGTCAAGGACTACCTATAATGGGATGCACACCCCGAAAATCAAGCAGAGTATCCTTTTTAAAATGGCCAAAACCTCTTGGGAGTACCAATTTCAAGCAATTTTAGGATTCTTACACACCCACATCCACATCTTCTAAGGCTCCAATCTTCTCACCTGAAAATGCATGAAATTTCAAATGAGATCACTGACATCTCCTAACCTATCTGATCTCATGAAATTTAAGCCTTTTCTCGCTTCTGGAATATTCATGGTGCTCCTGTGGATTCCCAGAGGGGGATACAGCCAACATGTTGCCATGGTCCTCTACTGCTCACCCCTACAGTGATGGGACGGTGGAAAAATATTAACGTAAGTGTACTGTCTTACCAACGTATCTGAAGAGCTAATAGCAGACTTCTTCACCTAGTCAAAGGTGCATCCTTATAACAAGGCTTATGCCTATGTTAATGGATGTTCAACTAGAGTCTGAATGCGGGAAAAGGGTTAAGAAAATTGGTACCTGACCCCAAAATCAGTGATTCTTTCTCCCAAATGGCAAAGATGTTTACGTTCCAAGTTCCTACTCCATATAGCACCAGAGGTATCAGGTTTACAACAGATAGCATTTAGAAAAGTTATAAGGCCCAGCTCTAAACTCAATACAGGCAACATGGTGTACTGCAGTTATTTTGGACTCCAATTCCCATCAGATCGAACCGATGCCAAAATAAGAGAAGATATTACTGCAAATAGTCTTGAAGCATCAGGTGCCCTTTGTTTGCTGAGTTTTGGAGGTGGCTAGAACCACTAAGGCAACGCCCAAGATCCATCATTTTACCCACCAGATTTTGGACTACAAACCCTATCATTCATCTCTATGTAACACTTCCTTGCTTGCCCAACCTTAATGAGAGAATTAGGTGCAAGAATCTGGAGGTTTTGTTTTTGAGTCTATAAACTCACCATATGGACTGGATTTTCATAAACCACAAAACTAAATTAACCAAGGTGATTATGAACCACGTTTAGGATCTTGTACAAATATTGTTATTGGGCTTTAACTACTCTGACCTCAAAATCTGGTATAAGCATGTAACTATGGGGGCATCTGGGAGAGAGGTTAGGAAGTCAAATGGCAGCTGTGACTGCATGATCAAAGTCCGGCCTATTTTTACAGGCATTTCATAACTTTTGCTTCATAAAGCAAAAGTTTTTTAAAAATAAGCTGGGCATTGGTCATGTTGTGACTACCATCTTGCCTTTTCTGACCCCCCCTGGGCAGATTAGCCTATATAAGTGTCAGTCTTGTTTCATGACGCTCGTTTTGTCACTTAGAGAAATCATTGTTTATAATAGGGGTCTCCAAAGTTGGCAACTTGGGGAGTTTAACTCCCGGAATTCCTCAGCCAGTCAACTTTAGACTTGTGGACTTTAACTCCCAGAATTCCACAGCCAGTCATGCTGTCTGGGGAATTCTGGGAGTTGAAGTCCACAAGTCTTAAAGTTGCCAACTTTGGAGATCCCTGGTTTATACTTTATATGTTGCATGAAACAAGGATGACCAAATAGACAAAGTCAGGACAATTAGCTTCATTTGATAAAATTGAAATTAACACAGTAATTTCTCATTTATTTCATAATTTCCATAGTTCTTAATTCAAAGTTGTAATTTGGCTGAAAACCTGGAAGTGGGGGAGCAAATTGTGAGTCCCCTTCTCTTACCCATTCCTCACACTTTATAAGACCTAAAGAGAAGGACAGTCCAGGCAATAATGCTGGCTGGATTCTTGGGAGTTAAATTCAGAGTTTGTTTGGCTCCCCTAAATGGCTTTCAGAAAAAATGGTCTACTTCTAAGTTTTAAAGTTTGATTCACAGTGACCCAGGAACAGCAATGAAGAGGCTGGATGTAATCTAACATTGTACAACATTTTTTTCAAATTAAATAATGAAAAAGAAACAACACTAGCTAGCAAAAGGGTTTTTTTTAAAAAAAAAAATAGGTAGGAAAAACGAACAATAGGAGCAATCCAAGCTCTAATTTGTTGAAGATGAAGATGACTTATTTCTTCATCCAAAAGGTTTCAGGGATATGTGAGTTTGTTCAGGGAAAGTATGACTTTATGTGTGGTTGTGTGTGTTGACAAGGCGCCTTTGAGTTAAAGAGGCTTTTGTGAAAAACCTCAAAAATTAATTGCATAGCTGAAGGGGTTTAGCTGTCTTATGACATTAGATGTACCGCAGGTCTGCGGTCTTTCACACAATTAAAGTCTGCAAAGAGCACAGTTTAAGAAGTAGTAATGCATTATGTTACTTATTCTTTTTTTTCCCTATGTACATATTTACAAAGTAAAGCTTTCGTCTCACCCATGTTGCATATATGACCCACTAACCCACGAAATAATGTTATTTTCAACAACTCTCTTACAGGGTAGAAAAAAATAAAGTAAAATAAAGGGATTCGACTTTTTCTTCATTTCAACTTGGAGAGAATGAAGAGAGAGAGAGAGAGAGAGACAGAAAGGTGAAAAGAGGGACGACTTTGAGGGGGAGATGAAATACTGCCTTACATCTTGTTCTGTTAGGAACAGTAAGAAAGAGCATTTACGTAGAAAATGTGCCAACTTTTGTCTAAAAGGTTCTGAAAACTTTTTTTTTCAACATATAACACACAACCCAACCATTATTATTATTTTTTTGGAAAAAACAAACCAAGAAAGAAAAGAAAAACCTTAGTACATCTGGGTGTGTACATCTTATACAGCTGGGTCATTACCAAAGTCTACATTTATTGAGTAAGAAGATCTGTTTGTCTAATTGTTCTCTCACTTGGATGTATGTTCAGCCATTACTTATCGCGCTTCGATGTCCTTAAGAGTGTGTGAAGGCGGCCTGTCCCTCATTTCTGTCGACAAAGGGGTAGTCCTTCGGGGAGAACCAGGCCGAGGTCCGAGGGTGGAAATGAGAGGGGGAGGAGCACTCAGGGCCGCTGTGGGAGGAGTTTTATTGAGGATGCCATTCTGAAGTCCTGACGGGGGGCTGACCCGAGGGTAATGCATACTAGGAAGTCCTGGAGTAAGGAGACTTGGATGAGCCAAATGACCATCCAGCGCCACCGGGTGCACAGAGTGAAGCCGTACGTGCTCATAGTCCTCTCGGAGCATGTGCAACCTTTCCCTCTCGTCCAGGTGCGCTCCTCTTTCGTGCTCACGGCGCGGGTCGACCGAAAGAGGGTGGTGGTGATGATTATTATAGTCATGTGGCTCTCGGTCCCTGAAAGATCTCTCTGCCTCGTAAAGCCTGGGTGTGGAGAGGCGGTGCAGCGGATCGTTCCTCAGGAGAAACTCCCTGCCCAAAGGGTCTCTCCGGTGGATGTCTAAATCTCTGTAGGGATCCCTCAAGGGATCTCTCATGGGGTCCCAGTGGAATGAAGGGTATGGGAAGCGTTCGGCCCCCGGGATTGGGCTAATGCCCATGAAAGGGGTCATCATGCGAGTCCTATCTAGACCGCTGATGGCGTTCATGGGGTGGATGCCAGTGACGCCCACCGTCATGGGCATGGATGCTAAAGAGCCTGGATGGACACTGGATGTGGGCATGGATGGTGGCTGCTCAGAAGGCCGGTGTGTTTGTGGTGTTTCCGGAGAAATGTCGTGATCTTCCTTCCTCTCCTCTTTCACTTTGACCTCGCTCGATTTTTTCAGGTTCTCATAGGTAGGTTCACTCTTCTTCTCAGCATCCCGACTCGAGTTGCTGTTCGGTCTGGTGCTTTCTGCTACAGGTGTCCTGGTGAAGGGTGAAGGCACCTGAGATGCTTGCTTAGATTCTTCCAACGATCTGCTATCGTGGCTCACGCTTTCCTTGTCTGAAATGTAGTTGTCCTTTGCCTTGTGTGGCTCATCGGCACTGATTTCCTTCCGTGGTTCTGGATGATCCCTCTCCCGCTCTTTGGACTTCTCTTTTTCACGAGCTTCTGAGTTCAGGTGGCTCCTCATCTGTTCAACTGAGCTGCGGCTGTGTCCAAGGGAACTCACAGAATGGATAGATGCTGGTGAAGGGTGGCTTGAGTGTCTTTTCTCAACAGTCTCCCTAGAAGTATTAAAAGGCACAAAAATTAACACAGAAGAAGGGATATGGAGGTGCTTAAAGCCAAATTTTTGAATATGTCTTGCGTAACTATAACCTGCCTAGTGTGGATAACTAGTTCCAGCTCCTTATAGTTTCAGATGGTTTGGCCAAAGATCAGATTCCAACATCATCTTCTAGAAGGCTTCTATCTCCCTGCCATTTGTATATCGAAAGAGCATCAGATGCAGAATTAAGAAGGCAACCTGTGATTTAATAATGTAACTTCCTAATTCAGAAGCAGACCCAACTTTTTTTGACAAAAGGAAAACTTCTGTATCTCCACACCCTTATTTGTCTGTCTTATTCTAGAGATGGGCTGAGAAACCGGAGACTCAAAAGAGATTGTTGGGACACTTGGTTCCAACTATCACGGAGACCAGAAGTAACGTAGATAAAAATTAAGGCCCTAAGTGTGAAAAATGGTCATAAGTCACGTTTTTTCCAGTGCCATTGTAACTTTGAGTGGTCACTAAGTGAACTGTTGTTAAATCGAGGACTACCTGTATTTAAATGGTTTGAAAATGCAATGGAAGCTAATGTCATGCCCTTGGCAGAGTCGGACTCTGAGGGAGAGGAGGAACAGGGAGTGGAGGTGTGGCTCCAGAGGTTGTGGAGGAGGCTGGGGAAGGGCAGAGGCCGGCTGGGCAGTCAGAGAAAGAACCAGGCCCATCCCCTCTGCATCCTAGGACATGCAGGGAGGAAACAACTTGGCTTATGAGAGAGGAAGCAGCCATGATCCCCCTCATTAGTTGCAGCTGGGGAGAATAGTATATAAGAGAGAGGGTTAAAACACAGCATTGCCAGGAGCAAAGCATGTTTTATTTTGGGCTGAAGTTATCTTGGTTGGCGTTCTTCCAACAGACTGTGCCTTGTTATCTCCTTGAAGTTGGTAATTACTTATCCTGGTCCATTGTGGAATTTCCTCCATTGTAGTTTGTTTTGGATTTTGTTACATTTGTGTTACACTCCGGGTCATCATAGCTAACTACTATTTTGGGTTTGGTGAGCAAATTTTCAGATCAAGAAGAAAGGTTGCAATCTTAGTCTTGTTATCAACTCTAAATATGTTGTGGTGACAAAGTTCTACAAAATGAAATTGGAAGATTTACAAATGAAAGCATCGGATGTAAATTTCAGCTCTAAAACATTGACTTGTTCCCCAGGCTTCTAAACAGTAGTTCCCCCAACCTGTTGCTTTAAGCAAAGCATGTCATCATGAAAAAGCTTTTGAAGACCATGATGTAACTCAGACATTACCAACAAAGTACACGCTGGCATCGTGTCAATGTAACTTCCCAAAACATATTCAAGGAAATCAAAACGGAATGCAGTCAGTTTTTGTTTTTTTTAATGGGCAAATATTTCCAAATCCCCAGATCTCAAAAAGGATGTTAGAGTTCCCCTGTAAAATCTTGCAGGGAAGTTTCATCAGGAATATCAAAAGCTCGTGAGATGTCAAGCAAGCATTGTCAAAACCTGCTGGCTAAAATCTTGACAATTTTACAAGATTTTGGCCATCGATTAGGTAGATAAATTGAAAGGCAGAGACAGAGATAGAGATACTGGTGTACAGGGATAATTTATAGCGAGGGGTCCTTGGTGCTTTCTGAGCTTGGTTGTTTTCTTGCAGACATTTCATTATCCAAGTAGGTAACATCATCAATGCTAGTCAGGGGTGGGAAGCAAATATTTTTTTACTACTGGTTCTGTGGGCATGGCTAGGTGGGAGTGGCTAGGTGGGCATGGCCATGTGAGTGGGTGGGTGTGGCTTCTTTTTTTTTTTGCAGCACCTCCCCCCCTTGCGCTCCATTTTTTTGCCTTCTGGGCCTCAGGGAGGCCTCCTGGGAAGCTCTTTTTGCTGCCAGGAGGTTTCCCTGAGGCCCAGGAGGCAAAAAACAGAGCACAGGGGGCCTCGCTGCACACACACACACACACACACACCTTTTTGCCTCCTACGCCTCAGGGAAGCCTCCTGGGCGAAGCAGTAAGACAGAGAGAGGGATTCCGGCACAGCTGATCGTTGGAACAGCTGATAGTTGGGAGGGGGAAAAAAAAGAAATACCGGTTTAGGCGAACCGGTAGCTGTTTTTTTTTTACTACCGGTTTGGCCGAACAGTAGAATTTTTTACTACCGGTTCACCTGAACCGGGCTGAACCGGTAGAATACCACCATTTATGCTAGTGACAGGCATTGATGTTACCTAGTTTGGGAAATGAGATGTCTGAAAGAAAACAACCAAGCTCAGGGAGCACCAAGGATCCCTCATTTCAACCCTGAGCTACAAATATTTCTCCTTTGTTGAAAATTTATAGTGTCATCACTGACCATTGATGGTCCCTGGAACCACAAGTTTCCCAGAATGCTCATACACGTTGTGTTCTTTTCATACCTTTCTTTGTCATCTTTACTAAGAGAAGCATCTCCTTTATCTACATCTCTGTCTCGTTCATGAGCTGCAGCGGACGCGCTGCGTTCCTGCTCACCTGGCTTCAGCCAGGGCGGTGGAGTTGGAAACGAAGGAGGCGTTCGGTGCAGACGATTCCAAGGCTCGTGTGGGTTACTATAGCTTTGCATGCCGGGACAATCCTTGTGGCCAAACATAGCATTGGGTGCTGAAATGGTGAAGGGGAAGGGGAAGGAGGGAGGGAGGGGAAACAGAAAGCAATATGCTCAGTGGAGGGTACTTACCAATCAAACCCAAGTTTGTTTATTTTAACAGCACTCAAGAGTTTTAAAAGGAATACATATTATGGGGAGCTGGAAAAGGAAAGGAGATTGATAGATCGTTGTTAGCACCTCATTTAAGGGGAAGAGATGCAACCCCTCTGTTGAAAGACAGGGGGAGCCATTTAAGTTTTTATTTATTTTTTATGAACAGGAAGAGCATCTAAATAAAGCTGAAGATAGTACTAAACAACACAAAACCAAGCCCAAACTAATTAGAAAATGAGCCCAGCACGAAGCTGGTTGCTGTTTTAAAACATTTGGAACCTGTTTGTTTCTGTGTCTGTCAAGAGAATCTACGGCACAGCAATGTAATAAAAAGGCATACAAAGTCATGAGACACTATCCAATTTTTTTTTTTTTTAAATCACTCAGGAAAGGAAAGTTAGATGGGAAAAAGTGTCCTTTTTCCATTGCAGGATTCTCAGCCAAGTTAACATAATTTTCTCACCAAGTCAACAATTTAAGGTAACGGGTTCTCAAATATTTTGATTCTTGGGACCCCTTTCCACTCTTAAAAAAGGTTGAGAACCTTACGGAGCTTTGTTTTATGTGGGTTGTATCTATTAAGGTTGACTGCATTGGCAATTAAAATTGAGAAACTATTAAACATTTATTTGACTTGGCGGACACCCTGAAAGGGTCTCTGGCAGCCTCAGGAGTCCCCAGACCACACATTGAGTGTCACTGGTTTAAGGAAAATATTTAGTCTTCCTTACATTGTGGCAAAACAAGACAATCCTTAAATAGTTGTAGCACCCAAAGCAGACTAGATAGATCATAGTCAATAAAAGCAGGAGCATCTATAGGGAGGGGTCAAACAAACTCCAACTGGTCAAAATCAGGACATTTGACCTATGGGAATTGGATTGTGGTGTCATGCTTGCCATCTTGACTTTTTCTTGACTCCATTCACGCCCCTAAAAGTTTGGAATGTACATATACTAATGGCCAAACCCGTAACTTCCTAAGTCAACAGAGATGCCCACATGCAGGATTAATTCCTATTGTTCCTTCAAGCAGGAATGTTGCATATGGTTAATAAGAGATTCCTTTCTTTTGAATTTACTGATTTTTTTTTAGAATTAAAACCTCTGTTCTTTTCGTTTGTTTCATCTTTAAAATTTTTGCTTGCTACCTATAAAAGCTTTGGATTTGAAGGTACTGTATTTTTTCAGAGTATAAGATACACTTTTTCCACCCCCAAAAGTGGGTGGAAATGTCTGTGCGTCTTATACACCGAATATTGCTGAAGTCCCACCCACCTGCTGGCCCCCACCCTTTGGCATCTGCTTCCCAGCAATTTGGCTCTTTGTAGCAAACAGCAAACAGCCTGTTTCAGCTTCAGCACAGCCTGATTAGTACAAGCAGCTGATTGTCGGTTGGATCGGCCTCCTGACGATCAGCTGTTTCAGGCTGCAGGGATTGTCATTGCCTATTGCCATCTCCGCACGTCCCATTTCCGGCCTTGACACACCCCATTTCCACCTGTTCCGATCCCTACCACCCAAAACAGGCAGAAAATGGGGTGTGCAGATGCCAAAAATGGGGTGCATGAAGGCGGTAATAGGCTATGGCAATCCCTGCAGCCTGAAACAGCTGATTGTCAGGAGGCCGATCCAACTGACAATCAGCTGCTTGTACTAATCAGGCTGTGCTGAAGCTGAAACAGGCTGTTTGCTGTTTGCTGCAAGGAGGCAAATTGCTGGGAGGCAGAGGCAGATTTTTTTTTTCTTGTTTTCCTCCCCAAAAGCTAGGTGCGTTTTATACTTCGGAGCGTCTTATACTCCAAAAAAATATGGTACTTTGAATGAAGGGAAAACACCAGCCATGTTTCCTTTTATAAAGGTTGATAATGAAAACCATGCAGTCTCCATTTCTACAGTATTGCCTTTGCTTGTTCCACTGACTTATTAACAGGGAGGAATATGGGCAAAACTACTGGAAGGCCTAAAGAATCAGGTTATTATGGGCAGATCCTTAATGGAGAAAATCTACTGAGGTATAGCTGAGGAATTCTGGGAATTGAAGTCCATGCATCTTACAGTGGTCAAGGTTGAGAAACAGTGATTTATGTGGTCAATAAAAGTCAACAATGACTGACAGCACATAATCAATCAATATGATTAAGGTATCTCATAAGACATATGGGCTTATTTAATGCAGGCTTTGGATCAAGGACATGTGTTCTTCTGGGGGTTTTGAGATGACCAGCCTAGAACTGTAGATAAATTATTTAGGACCTTCCCTTCCAACAGTCCTTAATAAGAGACTATGAGTTCAATCAGTGATAGGATACATTCAACCCAATTCAGTTGATTTGCTGTCATTACCAGATGCAATAAAATCTTATGCATTTCACTGCTTAATCTAAACATTCATCAAAATATCATTCTTTTCTGGTTTCGAATTCCTTTTGTTATTTAGTAGCATCTACATCTTGCAACTGAGAGCAATGTGGACAATGGTGGTTTGTGATTCTTTTCCAACTCCAAAGAGCAGGTCCTATTTACGGTTTAATGAAATAAATGGGAACTTTTCAGTTTTAAAATATTAGCTGTTACAATTTATTGACAGAGCTACCTCTTCTGAAGTAAGTGAATTAATCTGCCCCAACTTCTACAAAAGCCATTTAGTGGAACATTCTTTTTTACAATGTCTGAGGAAATATACCAATATACTCAAGGTGTCTTCATAGAGACAGGAGAGTTATTTGTGTTAGATTACATGATCATCTAGAATTAATCATTGATCTCTAATTGATATGATGGTGAATTTCTGAGATTCATGGCAGCGTAGAACAGCGTTAAAATGCTACTAAAACTGCCAGTAAAACGAAGATGCAATATATATATATATACATGCATATACATATACATATACAATATACATTTATTAAAGCCCAAAGCAATATATAACACTAAGCAAATTTACATTTGTTTTGTTTTTTGCAAGTTTTTTTTTTTAAATCTCATCCTTATTTCTGGTCAGCTCAAGGTAGCTTACGTACCAAGAGCTGGTCTGGTGTAGTGGTTAAAGTGCTGGCATAGAAACCAGGCAAATATGAGTTCTAGGCTGCCATTAGGCATGAGCCAGCTGAGTGACATTGAGCCCTTCAACTGTCTCAACCCAGCCCGTATCACAAAGATCCTTCCTTCCTTCCTTCCTTCCTTCCTTCCCTCCCTCCCTCCCTCCCTCCCTCCCTCCCTCCTTTTTCCATCTAATGTAAAGTAGGACAGAGCTAGGGTTGAGCTGCTGCTGGTTCGGACCGGTTCTACTGAACCGGTAGTTCCAACGATCAGCTGGCCCCACCCACCCCCACCCAAGCTTTCAGTCTTTTTCAGCTCAGCTGATTCGCACGGCACAGTGGATTTCATGCGCCTCAGCTGTTCTACCTACCAGGGCTGCTCTGCAGAGGTTCAAATTTGTGTTTTTTGAATGCTGTGCGCGTGCGCTCACAGAAACAGTTGTTAAACCGGTTGCAGCCCACCACTGGACAGAGCCTCAATGAAATTTCCAGCTAAGCTGAGAACTGAATATAAGATGGGTATAGTATTGTGATTCTAAACTATGCTGAGTTGCTGGATGACCCATCCCAGTGGTTTCATAGCCAATGTTAAATGTGGTACCCTCTAAGAGAAGGGCTACTTGGCCAATTCCATGTCCCCATTGCCAATTAGAACTACTGTTCTATCACCCTTGCCACTAAACCAACCCAAAGCATGACATAGCCAGAGCCGAAGGAGAATTTACTCACTAACGGCATGGTTGCCAAGTCCCCCGAAGGCATTGCTGCTCATGGCTGCAAGGCTGGTGAACGTCGTGGGCCGATTAAAAGTCTCTGAAACCAAACGGAAAGATGCTAATGGGAGGGGTGTTACCTCCTGGGAGGAAAGAGTGGCTTACTTGTATTTGACTAGGGCAAGCAAAGCATTAAGAGGACACGTCCTTATAAAGAAAAGAGATGGAAAGCTAAGAATATGTAGAGAAGGTGGAAATAAGATTAATAAGCGAAGGATTAAAAAGGGGGAAATAATGGAAATGGAGAGAAGAGGAAGCAATGAGTTTGGAGGAGGAAGACAACAAGAAAGAGAAAGAGAAAGAGAGGGAGGAAGAGAAAGAGAAGGAGGAGGTGGAGGAGAGAAGGAAGAGAAGGAGAAGGAGGAGAAGGAAAAGAAAGTGGAGGAGACGGAGCGGAAGGAGAAGAAACCCTTGATACTTGACTTACTCTATACCCAAGCTTGATAATGCTATTATCAAGATTTCGGATTGAATAGAGTAACTCACTACAGCTACCCAATCTGATGCCCCTCCTAATTGTACAGACTATCAAGCACTACCATGGTTAAAGACAATGGCTAATAGTAACCTCAAATTATAACAAATCAGTTTTGGATTTTGCAAAAGTCTGTAACAGAACATATAGTCGAAAAAGGGAAAAAAGCTTGCACTGTAGCAAAACTAGCAGCATACAAAAAAAAATGTATTGATCTGATTTCATATCCAGAAACTCTTTTGTATCTTGGAAATATAACAGTATTACATTTGAAGGATGTTGAAGGAGAAAGGAAGGGGAAGTATGTGATTAAACTGCATTTTACCTTTTTTTTTTAAAAAAAAGTTATTTGTCAAACAAAAATTACATATTCGAACTCGCAAAGAAATACAAAAAATAAAATGTGACAGGGATGATAGGCAAGTTAGTGCATTTACGCACACACCCTTAGGGTTCGCTTAAGTATGGTGTGAGGCCCACAGAAGTTAAGTCAGAATTAAAACTGTGAAAGTTAGTAGCTGAGACAAAACTCCAACTTTGACAACTTGCCTTGCTGTAGTAAAACATTAACTAGATGCTTCATTGTACAGAAAGGAGCCACCATGTGAATTTAAAGACCTGCTAATTCAATGGGACTAATTTCAGACTCAACAAATATGCTTGAGATTAATACTACGTTATGTTATGTTTACTTAGTAATTTCTCCAAAATTTACCACAGAGTAGTTCTGGCTACCTAAGATTCCGAGTTCATTCGTTCACACATGCATACTATCCATGGCACACCACTGGAGCGAACTAGCTGTCAACTCATAAAATATTTCTATGGTCTTTTAGAATTGCCAACGTAAAGGGAGGGGGGAGCAGTGCGGCAGCTTGAAAATCGAAACTGCATTCCATAAATGTTTTCAAAGATAGTAACTAGGTGACTGAAGTTTCTAACTGGAGAGTATGATTGATGACTCTTGGCTATGGATGTGTCCCATTGGAGAATATGAATTACGATACACCCAGGGGTGGGGGGGAAACCAGGGTCAAGGTTGACAATGAATGATGTGTCTCAGTGTCGGCATCATCCAGGCAGTGCCAGACCTTTTCACTCCCAATAAATCCTTTTGAAGTTTTGGAAGTTTGGCTCGAGACGCATGATTTAAATGAGGGTAACTGCCGGAATCCTGACACTAACTTTGCCCCAGCTGGCTAGCAGAGTTTGGGAGATATCGGGTCATCCGGAGTTTCTTCCGCTGACCTCTCCTGAAATCCGGACACGCCTGGCATGGGCTCCCACTTCCGCATGAAACATTGCTAGCTTTTCCCACCAGAGTAGTATCCATTGATCTACTTATATTTTTACATGCTTTTGAACTGCTAGGTGGACGGGAGCTGGGGGCAAATGACAGGGTCTCACTCCACCACGTGGTATTGTGGGCTCAAACCACTGGAGTGCTGACTTCCTCTGGCTGACAAATCCAGCATCTTTAAGGTGTTGTACTACAGCACCCTCTTAAGTTTAAGCAATGTAAGTCACACCAAAATTAAAGTTAAGGTTGGGGGGAGAATTATAAAGGGAAAGTCACTCTGCTCTTTGGATGTGGAAAAGTTGAACTAAACCATCACACTGATTTACTCTTCACCATGTGTTGCCAATTTTGAGGAACAAACCCAAATATATAAAGCATCATACTGATGTGATGGAAGAAGAAAGCCTGAACAAGAGACCACATTTGAAATAAAATAAAAAAAGACAGGCTGCACAGCACACTAACGTATGGAAGCTCTCATGTTCTAAAGCAAGGGTCTCCAACCTTGGTAACTTTTAAGACATGTGGACTTCAACTCCTAGAATTCTCTGGGAGTTGAAGTCCATAATTCTTAAAGTTGCCAAGGTTGGAGACCCCTGTTCTAAAGTAAAAATGCTCTTCTCCCATCCGATGCACATTAAAAATCATCTGCAACCTCAACTCAGTGATAATCTCTGAGGTTTGCATCCCACCTTTGGTCCACGAAAGAACTCAAGATGAAAAAAAATGGGACAGGAAGCCGTTTCCCAAGTGGACGTTGACTAAGACTCAAATCTGCTCAACATCATGGAACTATGAACAATATCCTGAAATCTAGGACAGCCTCTGACACGTGAGAGGGTTCTGATTTGCTTTACTTTGAGAATTTCTACTTACCTAAATGGGCTGCAGGGTTGAGAAAGTTGCTGTGGTGCGGGGGAGGGCCAAATGTAGGACCGGCAGGATGGGCGGCACCTAGCAAAACAAATTCAAAAGCAAGCAAACCAAAACATTTGAGTACAACACTTGTAGAGTGACCACCGTATCCTAAGTTGGATTTAAGTTTAGCCAGAGAGGTTGGGATGCTGGATTCCTGCACATCGCAAGACATTGAACTCAATGGCCTAAACAACCCCTTCCAATATTTTGATTCTAATGTAACTGATTATCTCAAATGAGCATATGGACAGCACAGGTGATCCTCAACTTACAACCATTTGTTTATTGACTGTTTGAAGTTATAACGGCATTAAAAAAAATGACCTTTGACTCTTTTACGACTGTTGTAGCATCCCCATGATCACATGATCAAAATTCAGGTGCTTGGCAACCAATAATAGTGGCAGTGCCTGGGATCATGTGATCACCTTTTGTAACCTTCTGACAAGCAAAATTAATGGGGAAGTCAGATTCATTTAACAACTGTGTCAGTAACATAACAGCTGCAGCGATTCACTTAACGATGGTGGCAAGAAAGGTTATAAAACATTGGAAAACTCACTTAATGACTGTCTGACAAAAATTTGGGGCTCAATTGTGGTTGGTTGTAAGTTGAGGACTACCTATATACACATATCCCACCCTCCCAATGAAATTCTGATCAAAAGAAGAATGCATTTAAAATAACAGCAAACGAGGTCAATTCAAGTCTCATATTTTAATTCATGAAGTTATTTGTTTATCTGATAATATTTATCAATAGTAAAACACTATCGTATATTGCTGAAGTGTATATCATACTGCCCTCCCTTCCATTTCTTTCTGTTCCATTTCCAAACAGAGACCAGATGGGTGGTTTACAAACTCACTGGTTGCCGAGAAAAGAGTTGATGGCCGGGCTAAGTCGTGAGGATGATGGATGGCCCCAAAAAGACTGGGACCTGGAGGTCTGCTCAGAAATTCAGGTTTCAAACCAAAATCCAGTTTGTGGGGATCCGACTGCATCTGTTTCTGAAATAGAGGGAAAAATGATGATGGTGGCTGATCTTTTTTTCCAAAATAAAAAAGGAACATACCAGTAGTATTTTGGAAATCAAAGAGAGGTCAGGTTCTTTTTATAATGCATGTCTTATAGATGCCAATATTTGTAATCCATACTTGTGAACTGGAAGCCAAGAAGTTAATATTCTGGACAATGGACTTGTAGTAGAGCATTGAGCATTGAGTAACCTGTGGCCATTGAGATGATGCTGAACTTATAAGAAAAGAGCAGGCGGAGCTGAGGGGAGGGGGCAGAATTAAGTGTGTCATCAGTTTAGAGTCTTTGCATCCCTACAAGTGCTCCTAGTCCAAACCCACCTTACCTGGTGCTAATTTACTGCTGATCTTCAGTTGACCACATTCTTATGTATAGGCCTGAGTAAATCTTTTATGCAGTGGTGCGATTCATCCGGGATAACAACCGGTTTCATTGAGTGCGTGCTTTGTGTGCGCTTTGCGCATGTGCACAGCATTTAGAAAAGACAATTTTTAACTATAATACTTACCTTCTGCTGCAACCTCGGTGAGTAAAACAGCTGATGCGCGGCAAACCATTCTTCCGCGCGAATCAGCTGTGCTCACAAACCAGGAAATAAAGCACAGGAAAAGGGCAGGGGTGGGTGGGCGGGGCCAAGTGATCACCGGAAGTATTGGTTTGCCCGAACCAGTCCAAACCAGTAGAATCCCACCCCTGCTTCTATGTAAATCCTTATGAATGGTCCTGATTCTTTGTGCTTGACAGAACTATAGTTTCAATGTCATAACAACCGGAGGACTACAGGTTGTCTACCTGTCATGCCCCTGGTGGAGACTGATTCTGAGGAAGAGGAGGAACAGCCAACAGGGAGTAGGAGTGTGGCTCCAGAGGTGGTGGAGGAGGCTGGGGAAGGGCAGAGGCCGGCTGAGCAATCAGAAGAGGATCTAGGTCCATCCCCTCTCCATCCTAGGGCACGTAGAGAGAAGAGGGTCAGGGAAAAGTGAGGTCGATTCGGGAGGAGATTACCATGATTCTCCTCGTGACTTGCAGCTGGGAGCTATGTATATAAGTTTGTAACTGCATAGTCAGAATTGTTGGAGTCAAATTTAGTGCTTCCTTTGAATGAGGTTTATCTTTGTTGGTGTTCTTCCCAGTTATCTTCCTGGAATGTATGATTAATTATCTTGGCTTACTTTGGAACTCTCATCAAATGCGGTTTGTTTTTGGTTTCCTTTTGCCTCATTATTTACTGTTGTGACTTTAAACTGTGCCTAATAAAACAGTGAAGTTAAGTTGAAGGCATTACCGGACTTTAATGTATGTTTTGGGTTTGGGGTTATTTTGAGAGACTACGGGTCATCACACTACCTGACATGTATAACTGTAAGAAGTGCCTTAAACAGCTGGTCCAGTATTACCTCATTTGAGTGTCAGTGGCTTTCCAAAGCATAAGGCAGAGAGGAGCTTATATTGACTGGGTCTCTTGGAGTTTTCATGAGAACTTTCGGGGATTGAACCCGAAACCTTCTTCATGCAAAACTCTTGTTCTGTCATTGAGCTATGGACCTCATAAAGAGTCTGAGATCAGTCAATCAATCTTTACCCAAAAGAGCTCACCTTGACTTTCTGTTGATGGTGGTATATCTGCCAAGCAATATGAACATGCATAGCACACCATTTGCCTGGTTTCTACAAAGGAAACAAGAATTAAAAAGAATTGAAAATAATACCTCTTGGCTATAGGAATAATGAAATTTAAATGTGAACCTGTTGTTGCTTGAGAATTGCCATCTATGGGGTTTTTTTTCGACATATAAGACAATGCAGTGTTCTATTAGGAGTCTCCTATCCAGGCACTAATGAGAACAATTGCTTTTTAGATTCACAAAAGTTGTAGCATTATATACATTTAAACAAAAGATTCAAAACCAAAGGCCCTAGAACTGCATGGGTCACTAGAAAACTTCCCTCCCTCCCATGAAAGACTCAGATCTTTCCAAAAATTGTGACCAAATTTCATTTTTCAATACAATGGAAAGGAGAAATTATTAATTCCATATTGGAATTTGATTTTATTAACTATCATTGCAGATAAAAATCAATAAACTGAAATCATTTCTGGGTTTTGTCCTTCTATTTTTATTTTTAGACTGTGAGCCTCCATGGTGCCAATTTTTAATGGAGAAAAGTTGTGTACCCCTGCTTTAAACCACCTTTTATGTAAGGTACATAGCATGTTTTACTGCTGAAGGAGGATTCACACACTGCCACAGAAATAACAGGATCAGCTTGTAAAATGGAGAGCAAGGACAACCTGTCTTATCTTGGGATGTGGGGCCAACTGATTGATAAGGTATCAAAGATATAATCATGGACATCAGTCATGGTCCATAACAAAACATTTAGCCCACTAACACAGATCTTCATCTTCTTTCTTTCCACCTTTACTCTGATTCCAATTGCTGTAGACATGATTTTACAGTGCAGTTTTTTGATATAACTATTGATACCCTGAGAATCTTTACAATCACAAAATATCTCCTGCAGAGGCAGATGTGCAGATTTACCAGACCTCTGGAAAGGCTCTGTGACCAAATAAGAGTGCCTTCACACTGGCTGTTAAGTTAGCTATATTAAGACATCTGTTAGGAGTTGAACTTTAATAACAAAGTCAATGTGACAAAGGAAAAAGATGCGGTGACATGAGGAAGAGAAAATAATCATGTCCATCTACTGTGGCTTGCAAAGTAAACTTCTGATGGTGCTGGGTAGCCTATAAGCCACAACTTGTCCACGCAGATTTATTTCAATAAAGTGATCTGAACTGTGGAGACACTATCACTCATTTTGCTGAAACAAAAATATCACCGATGCCTACATGAAACAATTTGGGTGGCTTCAAAGTACTTTAGATCACTCCTGTGGCCAGAATGGTTCCAGGTTGAACATCCTTGAGGACTACCCACATCATGTCCCCAAGCTATCCAACCTGGAACCCACCCCCCCAGCAAGTGCCAAAAGTTGTCTATGTGCTGACACATGCACAGTTCATCCATACAATGATGGTCAAAATGTCTGGAGAATGTCAGAGGTACCACTCATTGTGGTGAACACTTGCGAGGAGGTGAGCAATGACTTCTCTGAAGCGCTTGCTTGCCAGAACCCTTGACAACCACTGAGAAGGAGGTACCTAGCTAAGAAGATACAGACATGCTGTGGGAATGTCTGCAGGACTGATTAAAATCAAGTGGTTTGGAAAACTCTCTGGCATGTGTTCTGTGGCTTCCAAGCTGGCCACACCAAGTACATAATGTGGGCAATTCCTTAGCACTTGCTATGTCTGGAAAATCTTTGGCACATGCCAAGATGCTCTTGGGTGGCTACTATTGATGTACTGTGGAGGAAATCTGGCATTTGATGAAGCTAGAAGAGGCAAAGAATATGTGAGTTCGGCATCTCTGGAGGTTTTTAAGAGGCTGCCACCTCTCAAAGAAGTTCTCGTTGTTGTTTTGCACATTATAGAGGACTGGATCAGATTATTTTTGTGGTCTATTCCTCTTTGAAAATTGTACGGATTTATCACAAATCGCACAAATAGTAATTTTTATATAGCATAAAAGGTGACCCACTTTTTTGAAAAAAGAATAAATAATGCCTTGTGATGAGTGCCTTAGGCGGGCAATATTCAAAGAGGAAGGCAGCTGGGGAAAATTCTAAGAAAAACAGAAGTGGCATAGCAAAACAAGGCAAAAACGGTTAGTTGTCATCTTACCCTCAACATGGGCCTGAATGGATCTGTCAACTGAAGAAAGAGAGCGAGAGAGCGAGAGTGAGAGAGAGAAAGAGAGAGAGAGAGAATTAAAATCTGTCACTCAGACCTCTGTTCAGGTAATTAGCAGATCAGCACTCTTAAGAATCTGAAAATGGAAAACGTTAGCCTATTCTAAATTGTACATGTAGCCCCAAGTAAGCACTTCCTGTTACCTTAATATAGAGAGGAGAAAAACAAAGCAATTTCTTTGCTAGCTTTAGGTCTATTACCAGCTGTTTTTCTAGCAATGTATCTGAATTGTTAGCTTCCCAGATGGTCTTCATAAGGACTGCGGGAGGATGAAATCTGGTTTAACCCATCTTGCCTTCCCATCTGTTTTTGTCTGCGTGTCCAAGGGGAACAATATATTTATAAGCCACCCTGGAAGCTTTTTGGCTGAAGAATGATGAAGGGACAATGTTTTATATGAATTAGCAAATAAATAATCCCAATCCACATTCTGTTAATTATCTTGGATTGACCACCAAGCAGCAGAACATGGCTGGCTTCATCCTCTATTGCCGTGTGGATGCTTGGATGTCAACATGGAGAATTCCACACACCTTACACTTGCCAAGGTTGAAAAACGCTGCTATACTGGGATTCTTTTGAATTCCGTCTGAACAGAACAGAATAAGTTGGCGGTCCTCTAGTCCAATCCTCTGATCAGGCAGAAGACACTATATCATTTCAAGCAAATGGTTGTCCAATCTCTTCTTAAAAACTTCCAGTGTTGGAGCATTCACAACTTTTGGAGGCAAGCCATTCCACTGTTTAATTGTACTAACTGTCAGGAAATTTCTCCCTAGTTCTAGGTTGCTTCTCTCCTTGATTAATTTCCCCCCATTGCTTCTTCTCCTGCCCTCAGGTGCTTTGGAGAATAGCTTGACTCCCTCTTCTTTGGGGCAGCCCCTGAGATATTGGAACACTGCTTTCATGTCTCCCCTAGTCCTTCCTTTCATTAAACTAGACATACCCAATTTCGGCAACCGTTCTTTATATAGAATTGAACAATCCCAGCATAGCATGAATCTAATCATTTACTGCCCCTTGGTGGTCAATATAAATAAAGCCAGCACACCAGATATACGTTGTTAAGAACTGAGAAATTCTTCAGGTAAAATCTCATACATGGGGAGATAACGAAATTTAATATCCCTATCTCTCTAGTTCGAGAGCCTAGGGGCAAGTGATCATATATACCATTCTGACAGATTGTCAACTTCCTAGGAATCATGTCTCCAAAGTGATAGTTTGTCCTGGAGCTACATCATTCATAAAACACTGGAAAGGAAATAATTGACATTGGGTTTCAGGCTAAGCATAAGCTCAGGAAGATAAAAGGGGGGAATGAATTTGAGAAGCAGCTGAATTATCCATAAAGAATTGCTAATATGTATTTCCTACCCTTCCCCTTCTGTTGAAGCACCTCAGAGTCATTCCGTTCTAAAATTCAAGATGAATGAAGAACAGTACTGGGAATAAGCTTAGGTTTTAAGAGAAAGTTTTTCACCAAGGGAGAAATTCCAATATAGAAAATAATCATCGGTGCTAAACGCCCCTCCTTCTCTGCCAGTTAGATCAACTTTCAGCATATGCTAGTTTTCTCCTCTTTTCTCCAGAGTCTAGAAATTGCAATGACAGGTTCAGTGGTTTACTAAATAATAATCAACATCAAATGCCTTAAGTTATGAAAATGGGTAAGGATATAAAATGCAATCTAGAGAAAATCAAATTACTGTGTTCATAGCAACCTATTTAAATTTGAATTGATCCTTGAAGCTGATTTTATTGCATCAGTTTCAGAAATTTAAGAATGTGCTGAATTACGGCCAGCACTACTTATGACTTATGAAGAAAATTCTCATTTGGAGGGCTCTTAATGCAGGCTAGGGACTTGAGGCTACGATATAATTGAATTTCTTTTTAGAACTTTCTGACCATAATTCCTTTTGGCTGCACACTTCATTGGGATTAAACTGCTCTGAACTCAGATGAAGTGATGATGTTCAAATACCCAAGAATTGACTCATATTATTACAGTGCTTTGATTCCTTTTGGAAGGAATTCATGGAAGCTCAAGTAATTACTTGTACTTTTTCAGGCCATTATATCATCCTATAAATCTTATTAATGCTTTTCTTTGGGTGTGAGGCTAAAGTATGAACAACAGAGCACAGGTACCAATGCTGGATTTTCAAGCAATATCATATTCCAACTTTGAATTCCTGTCACCATGCAATTGACCATGCCCAAGTCCTGGATATCTTAGGAATGGACTTTGCCAATGAAGTGGAACTTCTATGTACCTGCTTGAAGTCATCAGAACTTTCTGCATAGACAGTGAGAAGAGTTATGATGAAAAAAAAAGACTAGGGGGTGACATAATAGCAGTGTCCCAATATCTAAGGGGCTCCCACAAAGAAGAAGAGGTCAACTTATTTTTGGATTTTCCAAGGTTTTTTTAGAAATTGCAACTTCATGGGACTTACCCTGGGATCCTTCTGAAGAAGAGTATGTGGAAGAGCTCCAGGTCTTGTCGCAACATCAATAGGATTTGAAGTCTGCAAATGTCACATGTAACATACATGAAACATATATTATTTAAACATACATAAATTTAAATATAATCAGCTTTGGAAAGTGAGGAAGCTCACAGATAACTCACACGTTGCTTTAATGATGGCATCTCAGCTTTTCCTTCCTATTCCCACATTTCTGTGAAATTTAGGATTAAACCCCATGTTGCTTCAATGATGACATCTCATCTTTTCCTTCCTATTCCCACATACCCATGAAGCTCAAGATTGAACCACACATTGCTTCAATGAGGTCATCTGATCAGAGATGAAACCGTCTTGAAGGGTCTCCAGCTCCATTCTCTAAGTTTATGGAGATGTGTGCAATTTTGAGAAGTTGAAATAGTTTCGATATCTTTTCAAAGTTAATCTTGGACAATACCCTGGACATAAATTGTTTCAACTCCTACCCTCAAAATGACACTATAGAGCACTGCACACCAAAACAACTAGACACAAGGATAGTTTTTCCCCGAATGCCATCACTCTGCTAAACAAATAATTCCCTGAACACTGTCCAACTATTTACAAAGTCTGCACTACTATTACTGTTAATCTTCTCATCACTCCTTATCACCCATCCCTTCCCACTTGTGACCGTATGACTTTTTTGCTTGTATCCTTACAATTTCAATTGTCAACAGTCAATGACTGTTTCCTAGTATGATTTGATTGCTTATTGTACCCTATGACTATCATTAAGTGTTGTACCTTATGATTCTTGACTCTTGATGAATGTATCTTTTCTTTTATGTATACTGAGAGCATTTGCACCAAGACAAATTCCTTGTGTGTCCAACCACACTTGACCAGTAAAAGAATTCTATTCTATTCTATTCTATTCTATTCTATTCTATTCTATTCTATTCTA